TATGGAATGTGAGCAAACTTTGACTCAGTATAGCTACCAAGATAGGACATGCTGGATGAGTATTGATCAGGATATGATACCGAACTTGTCTGTTTCTACCTAGTCTCTCAGCTTTCCTTCGGTATTATCTGCACCAATGTCCTTTTGGATCAGCGACATCTTACCAAAACACGGATCTCACGTACAGGTACTAGATGTGTTATTGCGCTCGGAATGGCTCCAGACACCTCGGGAATCAATTTCAATCAATGAAGCCATCAGAAACAAAAAATCACATCGCTATTCACTTCGATCTTTTGATATAAAGCAAATCAAGTTTATAAAAGAAGATAAAGAGTATTGGCAAGTCGATCAGATTCATTCTGACAATCTAGCTGTTTTCAATGACGGAGGAAACCGTGCATACAGACCGCACCATTCGATACGCACAGCTTTTGGTCTGTGTCAAGAGAATTTAATCAAAGTGCTGTCTCATTGTGAAAACCTTACCACACTCTATCTTGGAGTTCCAGAGTGGGGCCGTCACACAAAAGAACGACTGGATAACTTATGTTGCAATCTTGATTCACTGTTCTCTGAACTCGGACATCTTCAACATCTCCAAATTCGAGGCCCTTTATTTTCACGTATCTACGCAAGGTGCTTTCAAGAGCCTCTCAAACATCTTCAACTTCTTGAATCACTCGAGCTTAAGAATATCATAGTGGACAACATGAAGGATCTTGGCCGTCTTCTTGGCTGTCTATATAATCTCGAACATCTTGAACATCTTGTCCTAAGGCGTGTGTATATCTGCCGTAGCTGCACTGGATATCAACCAGTCCCTCCTCGACTACTCCAGCTCAAGATTCAAAGTAACTTGACTCATCTGGAAGTCGAATTTGCTGATGTCTATAGCTCTATTGAATTCGATCAATTTTCTCTACCGGCTTTAACACACCTAACGATACGATTCTGCTTTGATTTTCATTCTATACAATGCTGGAATGGGTGTAAAGACCACCCCGATCTTACTCTCCTCCATCTCAGAGAAGATAGTTTTCTGTTCGATCCAAACGCGAAATTATTTCCCAAACTTAAGGTATTGAATTTACGTATAAACTTTCAGTGTAATCTTATAAATATATCTTTAGAGCCTATTCTGTCTTCGTTAAATATTTTCTGTGAATCTCGAGGAATTGAATTCAGGGTTTTTCATGAAGAGGAAAAGGACGACACATGGCATGTAACAACACGTTCTTCCATTGATGATCAATTAGAAAACTATCCTTATCCTCATTAAACAGCTGTATAGTAGTATGTACATCACTTTACTTCCAGAAAGTCAAAACTTATTTCAAAGTCTCCTTTGTATCAATATCCCCTTTCCTTCAAGTTGATCAATTTAACATCTTTAGATGCAAGAACACTCCTCCCACAGATGTTTTTTCAAAGGTTAGAACCAATTTTCTCTCGAGGAGCATTAGGTCTACTTCTTCCCAATTATCCACTTGGAATTGAGGAAAACTGAATGTGTGCAAAACACACTTTGACAAAGTTGAAATTTCCAAGTTTCAAAACCAGAGAACAAATCAGAAAACTATCTCCCTCAGGGTCATACATTTGTATAGTATATATTTTTAGTGCCTGATTGATCCTTCACAGACCATTCTGTGGTCAAGTTTTTCTACTTCAGTTCATCCTTGAATCCAGATATGCAAGCCACCTTACCTTTTGCTTACCACAAAGGGTTGCTTGAAAAGTGCAAGAAGCCTGGGATCTCTTAAATTGGCATTGAGTCCAAGTGAATATGGAAAAGAAATCAGTTAAAGAGAGATGTCTGTTACATTCTGTAGCCTTGCTCAAAGGGTCATTGGTCAGTCAGATAGACAAATAGGAGCTGCAAGAGATCACAAGAATGTGGCAAACTGATCAGGTATGTATGAGTCATGAATCACATACTTTTAAGGGAGAGAATATTGGAAGAAAGAAAGAAACCAGTGATATCATTTCCCTGACCTTGATCAAGTCTTGACATCATGTGTAACACACTATGAGCCTTCTCAAAGACAGGAAACCAGATGAGGGGAACCGGAACTTGTGTTTATCAATCAAGGACCAAATGTCCCTGAAGGGTAATGCACCGACCCGGCCCCGGCCCAGTAAATCTGGGCGGACCGGGGCCAACCCCTCCCCTACAGACCGGGCCAGCCGGGTCTGCCAGCTATACCGATGAGATATGCTCAAAAAAACAAAAAAGGAAAAAAAACTTGTATATATTATACTTGATTTTCCAAATTTTTTATCTTTTCTATCCCTTTCTAGAGTGACTTGATAGGTAATTTAAAACAAAGACACAAAGATACATGTCCTCTATACATTATATCTGGGGAGATTACAAGGTTTTTGGTGAACTTTGAGGTCATTTGCACCAAAACTCACCCCCCAACCATATGAGCGAGCCAGACCAGGTTGAGCCAGCTTCACCCAAATCATGGCTGAGACCTGCTTGTCCCGGTCCCGGTCCCGGTACCAGACTAGGCTTTCCGGACCAGGTGAATGCATTACTGAAGGGTGATTAGGGGACCTATGAATGAGCAGACCATTCTAGCACCAACACTGGACCAGCAGCGCAGTGAAAAGCTGAAGCACTGCTTTAAAAAGCAGTGCTGCGGGGTGCGCGCCAGTTGCGCTTCAGAGTCTCTCAAATTCCCAAAGCATGAACTCGGCAGCGCTTTTTGAAATACATTTTTGGATTTAAATTTTTCCGCAGAGCTCCCGGAGCTAGGGCCACGCTTTGACGCTTGCAGCGCCTGAAGCGTACTATCCCCTACTATACCCCCCTTTCACCTCACATCACTACCAAATGTGTCAATTTTCATTCAAAAACAATCCCTTGACACCATATTCCTCTCAATTTTGCCAAAAGAAGCAATCTGTTGTCTCAATTGGTATCAATATGCTCTTGATCCCGCCACTCTTTCATTGAATCTACCCCTTGCACCAGCCCCTTGCGCCATGGACTATTCACAGGCAACCAATTCACCTTTACTCGACTCTCAAATACTACTCTTCAAAGCCAATTAGTGCTCATGGAAGATCTCAACTACTTTACAATATTATCTTTTTGCATCGGGTCCTTTTTCCTTTCAAGTTTTCCATAATTCCATCAACTGATCACTTACAGATCTATCAACTTCACATCATCTATTATCTCTTTCTCAATCTTTTGATTTTAAATCATTCACAATTTTTTTCTACCTCACGTCTTATCATACCTTTGCAACTGGAACTTGCCTTTGGATTGTCTCAACAAACGGGGTCCATGTGGAAGCAATGGCAATCCAACACCGTCATCAAGTCAACCTCACCGTATAAGGAAATCACCTTCACAACACGGAAATCTGATCTCCCCCAGCCCGGATAGCAGACACTGACTAGCAATCAACACAACTCCTGTCCCTTCAAAAAGGGGCAATGAAACACCAAACACACCTCAGTTGAATGTTTCCAAGATCACAAGCTCGACTTGGCACACAAGGTTGAGCTGAGGTGTGTTTGCAGAACACACCTCAGCAATTTTTCTCAAGGGGGACTCGGGGTAGGGATGGAGGACTCAGACAACTTGTATGATTGAATTGAAAACATGGCATAGGGCAATTCTAACACAGAACAACTGTTTGTTCATCTTTAAAGTAACCTAAATCAGATCGATACAAGATATGATGACAGGGTGTACACAGGTGGTATGTGGGTATTGCTTTAAACATAGAGTGATTGACCAACACATCACATTTGACAAATGGGGGACACAAGATGATAATGTGTGTAAAGAGGAGGATTTTGGGAATCACAGGCAGGTATCACATCAATTAGGGGATACAAAGTAGAAGTCCGAGCACATGTTCAGAAGTCCAGATTTCATTTTTGGCTGTAAATTTAGATTCTGGACTTGGGGGCATGTGCCCGGGCACCCCTGTAACTTTGAGCCCTCAGTAGCCAGAAACCGTGGAACAATAGAGTCCTTGAATCTAAAGGAATAGGTCACGGCCCTGCAGCTTGTTTAACTACCAAGGCATTAAGCTATTGTGATACATACCCAAAGACCAGACATCTACTAAGCTTCATATTTTTCTTGCTCTCTCTTGTACGGCTTGTGGGATGATCTCTACAAACTCGCTCTTGATAATTGACACCATTATCAAAAGTACTCAATAAGAGAAACCACTGTGCAATTGCAAAGGAAGGAAAGAGAACATTCAATAAATGGAAGATGAGTTGAATTTTGAAGAAAAAGATTGAACAATGCTTGTTAAATAAGAGAAAAGACCAGTCTCAAGCAGAAACAAAACAAAACAAAACAAAACAAAACAACCCAAAAGAATGAAACAATCAAAAAACAAAACAATCAAAAAAAAACGGTCAAAAGAATGAAACAATCAAAAAAAAGCAATCAAAAGCAAAACAAAAAACATAACAAGATCAGTTTCAAGTGAAAACAACAAAACAATCAACAGAAACAATCAAAATCAAAAAAGCAATCAAAAACTAAACACAATTGAAAAGTATGAAAAAAGATCAGTTTCAGGAAACACAGAAGAAAACAATTGAAAACAAGGAATTGATGGTATCCGAGTTTAAACCTGAGAGGAAGACATGAATTTACGTGGTTTGAAGGCATGGAAATGAGTGTGGGGTTTCTGGGAGGAGAACTGGGTGTTGAGCTGGGAAGTCTTTTTTTGCCCAGATTTCAGCTTGTGTCCGGGGATCTGAACTTCTGGGTGCTTGCCCGGGCACGTGCCCGGACTTGTACTTTGTATCCCCTGAATTTACAGCCTTGACTTTACCTTTGTTCAAACAATCAACATCATTCTCTGGTTGAGCTCGGCTTTGATAGAACCTACAAGGATGCATCATTAGTTCCATCGCGCTACCCCACAATATACCCCATGACTTGATGATCTTGGCATTCAACACGGCGGGGAAGAGAAACTGGTGAAAACTGTGGATTCCATGAGCAATCAAGATCTTTGCTATGTCCAAAATTGCCCCGTCACCAAAGTCGCAAAAGCTTAGGTAGTCAAACAACGTTGATTGAGGATAAACCCTGTGTATGACATCATAATTGATGTTGACGTTGGTACTTTGCATTTCAGCATAGCTGCCAAGGGGGAAGGTAGGAGGCCATGGGCTGATCTTGCATTGTTTGACATCTGGCACCAGGGAAAAAATGGTGTTGGGGCGTTGGATGTCCTTCCAAACAAAGTCAGGGTCTTTTGGCGGGATGTTCAAGGTCACGCCCGGGATACCTGCTGCCTGAGGGACATTTGGGGTCAGATACATGAGATATTCAAGAGGTGTCAGAGAGAGAAATTGGGCTTACTAATGCTCTGGCCCATTCAATGAGGTTCACAAAGGTCAACTCCATCTTTTTAGAGAGATCGTCTGGGTTGAAAATACGCTAACCCTTGTTATTGTGGTTTGTGAACAAACCAAGTTTGGGCTGCAAGGTTTGGAGCAATTCTTTTTGAGGATCCAGTGGGACCAAACGGGCGAGCACAGTCAACGTGGTTGCAACATTCTCAATGTTGTTCTGAGCTTGAAGTCGCCCTTGTTTTTTTGGTCAGACTCTACATCAAGAGCAACATGAGAAATAGGTTTGATCAGCTGGATGGCCTAGGCTAGGAGGATGCAAAAAGCAAATGCTTACATCGGCTGCCTCTTGCGCAGCTTTGGCTGGATTTTCCATGACAATTGTGAATCCAGCATCTGTGCCAGGCAAGGCTTAAACAGCAGCAAAAAACCTCCCAACATCACCATCTCTGCCCAACTCTTGCTTGAGCCCTTTGCCATAGGCATCATGTTTGACAATGAACTCCATGATCACCACTCTGTCACTTGCATCGGCGGCTTGGAGGATGGTGGTGTTTCCCTTCAAGTCATCATTGGTTTTGTCAATCTTGCTGGATAACAGGAACAACTGTTTCTTCAAGTTGTGGAACTTGTTGGAGGATAAGTCAAACAACACCTTGGTGGTAGGCAGCGGGATCAAAATGTAAGCCGGTTTTTTCTTGCTGCTGCTTCCCTTGGTGATGTTGGTCCCTTTCAATAAGTAGAAAGTGTAAGACACACTCCGCAGCCGCATGAGTGTGTCTTTTTGAGCACCTAGGTAGGCCCAGGGAGAAGAGAGTGAGGAGAGTGAGCGCTCAGTTCAAAGTCACCCTCCTTTGAACTGTAAGATAAAAAAAAGGACATACCTGGGATTTTGGAGGGGCTGTCCTCCACATAGTCCTACACGTCCTGCTCGCTAGTACAGAGGTTGATATGAATCGGCTTGCCCCTGGTGGGCAGGCCATTATTGAGTCCCTTGATTGGGGTTGAATTGGGTTTGACCTTTGGTGGCGAGTTGAGAATGTGAGTAATG